AAAATCATCTATAAAGATAATATAATAGCGATGACCCCCTTTCGAAGCGAAGGGAGCCGGACCCCAAACATCAGAGTGAATGAGATCAAAAGGACGCTCGGACACCGACTCACTGTGAGGGTAGGGTAGCTGAATCTGCTTACCAAGCCGACAACCCAGACAATCCAACGAAGCGTTACCAGAGACAGACCCTAGAACACCGCGATGAACCAAAGATGAGAGACGGGAACCACATAAATGACCAAGACGATGATGCCACTGCTGAAAAGAGCTGGTAGATGCAGCTATAGGGGGTGCGAGACTGGCGGCGGTGGCAGCGGAGGGAAGACAAAGCCAGTCAAGCTCCCAGAGACCATCAGAGCGTCGAGGGCCAGCACCAAGCAGAGCGCCCGTGCGACGATCCTGAATAGAACATGAATCAAAGTCGAGAATGATCCTACAACTAGAGTCAACAATCTGACCACCAGATATGAGCTGCATGGTAAGTCGAGGAACATAAGCGACGGAGGGAACATGAAATGAAGAAGTGCTAAGAGTGCCTCGACTAGCTAGAGGGGGGGAGTGCCATTAGCTGTAAGAACACGAACATGAGACTCCACAGGTTGAACAGAGGTCAAAGTGGAAAAATCATAAGTCATATGAAAAGATGCTCGAGTATCAAGAATCCATGGGGATGTACCTGAATGAGTGGAAGGTGGTTTCTCAGTGTCAGAAGAGTTAGCCACAGAACCTATAAAAACCGTCGGTGAAGAATCCCAAGCATCAAGCATGCATTTTAGCTGTGCAATCTCATGCACAGACAGGGACACGGCCGAAGAGGTCGAGGTAGAAACACCTGCCGATGATGAGCAGTCGCCTCCGACCGTGGAAGCTGCGTGCAGAGTCGACCGGGAGTAGCGAGTCAACGTAGAGCCGCATGAGAAAGCCACTGAGGGTGTCGACGTAGAGCGGTCATCGCCAAACGCGGAAGCCGCGAGAGGAGTCGACGTAGAACGACAATCACCAGGTGCAGAAGTCGTGGGAAGAGTCGACGTAGAGCGGCCACTGCCGTGCACGGAAGCTGCAAGAGGAGTCGACGTATAGCGACCAACACAGCCTGTTGAAAACTCTGAAGGGGACAACATCGCAGACGGACATGCACCAAGCACCGAGCGATGGTGCATGTGCGAGACTGGATCAATATAGGGAACACCTTCGAAAGTCTGTGGATGGCGACGAAGACGCAGGCCTGACCGAAACATCATGCCAGTTTCGTTTTCTTCCATTTTTTGGTGACAACAACGGAAAGATCAGGCAATAGCCGAAGAATCAAGCCTCATGCCAACAGCCGAGTCCCAAAGGCAGCACCCCAGGCCAAAAACGAAGCAGACCAACTATGGCGACTCGATTCAATCCACCAGACGAACAGCCAAGGCGAAGCAGTTGACCTCCGATAGCTGCTGCCTCTGCTTGATCTGGAGAGCTCTCGATCTGGAGTGGATGGATGCCCGGACACGAAACGGCAGCAGCTATGAACGCATGTGCGACCACTCGCGGACAGCAGCAGAAGGCAGCAGCGGCGCGGGCGAGGCCGATGGCCGACGGCGCCGCGGAAGGCAGCAGGGGTGCGGACGAGGCCGGCGGCAGGCAACCGTGGAGGAAGACAAACGGCCGGCAGCGACCTTGGAGGAATACAAGCGGCCAACGGCTCGATCGATCGGGACACACTCTGATAGGATCCAACATAGCGATGGATCAGCTAATTGGACGTCAAGCACGTGTAGCTGGAGATGGACGTATGCAAAAGCAAAATCACGGCCGGCAGGAAAGAGAGCAAAGGCGGTCGTGCAGGAGATTGGATTGGGAGTAGCACGAGTTGCGACGTGCAAAAAAAATACCTAAAGCTCTAATACCATGTTACGAAAGCAACTTAATATTATTAGGAGGCCAAAGGCAACATATATACAAGTACATGAGGATGCCAAAAGGCTAGAATGCAAAAGATCAAAAGTCATCACTAATATAACTCTAACAGGGGGTACCCAGATCTATCTGCCCGTGGCCCATGGCGTGGTTCCCTCGACGTCCTGGTACAGCCCAGCTACAAGACCCCCCAGGGCAAGACCCTCATGAGGGGCCCCCGGCCTCGCGAGGCGGACGACGCCAAGACCTTCCGAGGGGCAGCTCTACGAATCTGCCTCCCGAGGAACGGAGATTTCTATGCAGGTATCCAGCCTCACGAGGCTCTCCATGATGTAAGCCATGACGACCAAGGCCAGGCAGGCATCAGCGGACGCAAAGGACAGTTTCCTCTTTGGTGCTAAGGTGGCAAGAACGTACGCGGGTTCCCAAAGAATCTCCCAAAGGTTTTCATTCCGGTGCAACAAGACCAAGACCACGAGCTTGGCAGGACGGATGTCATCACCGAGCCCACCTCTGCGTCACGACCAGAAGCCACCTTTCGTCAGGATTAGATGTACCTCTTGTCCCCTTTCAAATTGGCCGTTGTGATCCCTTCCCGCCTAAGATATGAGGGAAGAGGACCAAGGCCACTATAAATATAGGCTAGTCTCCACTGTAGAGAAGGACGGCTTCGAGATCGGATCTATTCCACCCTCACTACCTGAGCCCTCGCAAGGCTGCTCATCCACTGTATTAGTTCATCCTCAACCTCCTCCAGAGGCCAATCCACCACAAAGCAGGAGTAGGGTTTTACACCGCAAGGTGGCCCAAACCTGGGTAAACTGTTGTGTTCATCTTCTTCCCCGCTCGCAGAACTCGAGCAGGCTAGGCTGTGGGGTGATGAGCTCGAGGCTTGGACCGGTTGAGATCTTCGCACACGCCCCTGAGTTCAAACCTTCTTAGGTCTGCGAAGCCCTGAATCCGACAGTGCCTCCCCTTCAGGCCGCGGGCGCGGGCAAACGACTGCCACCCTCGGGTCAGGTACATGTAGCTCGAGGGGGTGACCTCCACCTCCGCCCACGAGGACCTATTGCAGCAACCCTCAGGCTGCAGCCACAGCCCGACGGCGCCGGTAGCTCCTCCGCAAAGGAGCGCATGAGTTGGATCCAAGTGCGGGGCGACTCTCCATCCACACTACGAACTCACGGGCCATGTCGGCCGAATGAGCCCGCGGTCGAGGTGGCCAGGCGGCCACCGCATGCCCCCCCCCCCCCTCGGCCACGACCGCCACGACTTCCACGGCCACTTCCGCGAGTGGGGTTCTTCCCACGGCTGACGGAGCCGGCGCGGACCCCTAGTGGAGCGCGCCCGCACCCCTGAGGAGCCGCCATGGGCGTTGCGGCGAACTTGCGGGGGCGACAGCAGCTCCGGCTCTTCCGGTGGTGCCTTGCCTTTCTCGGCGGCGATGAACATTCTCACGGGCGCCATGGCTGCTGCGACAAGGGTTGGAGGCGACGGACAAGAAGACGGAGATGGGTTGGGGGCTCTGGCCCTTCGTCCTCTTATGGGCGATCAAAGAAGGCCAATCGGCGTCCCTTCACATTCAGGGCAATGATGGCCCCGCCGCGTGTGCCAGGCTTTTTGTCAGCCTGGGCAGTTGCCGAGGCGACGTGGGAAAGTGGAGGCGGTTGCGTCCCGTTGTGCGCCACGCGTCAAGCCTGGCCCGCGGACAGTTAGGGCTTGCATCGCTTCGTCCTCCCCTCGCTGTCTTCGCCTTGAAGCCAAGTCGAGCGCACTGTGGGTCGGGGGCTATTGTCGGGGTTCTGGGAACGGGGGTACCTAGACCCGTCTGCCTACGGCCCAGCGCGTGGCTCCACCAACGGCCCGGCGTGGCCCAACGCTGGGACTTCACGAGCAAGACCCTCGCGAGGGCCCCCGCCTCGCGAGCCGAACGACATTAAGGACTCCCGAGGAGCGGCCTCCCGCTCTAGTCTTGCACCCACCTCGCGAGACGCGCGATGATGTGAGCCATGACGACCAAGACCAGGACGGCGCCAGCGGGCGCAAGAGAGGACAGTTTCCTCTTTGGTGCTAAGGAGGCAAGGACGTACGCTGGTTCTCAAGGAATTCCCCAAAGATTTACATTCCAGTGCTACAAGACCCAGACCGCTGGCTCGGCGGGACGGAAGTCATCACAGAGCCCACCACTATGTCACGACTAGAAACTTTGCAAGCGAAGACCACCTTTAGTCAGGATAGGGTGTACCCCTGTCCCCCTTTAAAATTGGCCACTGTGGTATCCCTTCCCGCCTAAGCTATGAGGGAAGAGGACCAATGCCACTATAGGTTAGTCTCCACCGTAGAGGGGCCGGACCGGGTCGAACCCTGAGCCTCTAATATTTTACCCTTATCACAAGGCAGTTCATACTCACCCTCCTCGCAAGGGAATCCACCACAAGGCAGGAGTAGAGTTTTACACCGCAAAGTAGCCCGAACCTGGGAAAACCACCATGTCTGATTCCTTCCCTTCTCTCTCGAGCCCGGCGAAGCATAGTTGTGAGACCGCGAGCGGCAAGCAGAGGTGTAGCAAAGTTCTTCGTGCACACCACAGAGTTCGAACCTTTCTTTGGGTCCGGGGAGCCCCGATTTCCGACAGTCATGAGCAATACAAGTTTGTTGCCCAAAAGGTTCATGTCGTATTCAAAAGGCGAAGGCTTATTGCTAATTTTATCACTCAGTATCCGTCATGAGCAATTCAAATTAGTTGCCCATAAGTTCCATTCCATATTCAAAGAGCGAATTTTTGATTGATTATCTTACGTTACATGCAATTGTCGCCCTAATGTTGTGTCATGATCTATAATTATATCTTGGTTTACAACGACCAATGCTAGATTTGCTGACGGACTATTTTATACTGCCGACAGGTGACAGCTAATAGTTTTGTACAAACGGAGAAGCACTTAATTATGCGTTTGTAAAGAGTACAATGTTGTATTATATGTGAAAGTGTATAAGCAGGAACTAATTCAACATATTTCAGTCCCAATATAATCACAAATATGAAACAAGTATATTTGTAAGACAGTACAATTTGTTAAGATCATAGGAGAACTTACATTGTAATCTCCTTGATAGTCCTGGATAGTTTGATCTTTCACTTCAATGACTCTGTTAACTATTTGTTTTACAAAATACCGATCATGAGAAACTGTAATTACAGTGCCCGTGTATTCTGATATTGCCTCCTGTCATGTATGCAGAAGCATCTATTAGAACTGCATGCACCAGGAATACCAACGGAAATTCAAGGAACTGATAATAATAAAACAAAATGATAAAGTTCTGTAAAGGGTGAAACTGCATCAAACCTCAAGCATTTCCTTTGATGGAATATCGAGGTGATTTGTCGGTTCATCCAAGATTAGTAAAGTAGACGGAGTCACCATGAACTTGCAAAAGGAAAGCCTCGCCTAACCAAAAAATTATATGAAGAAATGAGTAGATGTACACAAATCAGGAACACTGATGTATCCTGTATCTGTATGACGATCAAACTAAAATGAAAATGCACATTACCTTCTCTCCACCACTTAGAAACCGAACCTTTCTATTCAGCATGTCATCCCTAAAGTTACAACGACCAAGGAGACCTTTGATATCATCAATTTTCCAATCCTCTGCAGCTTCAGCTACAGTGTCCAGTACAGTCTTCTCTAAATCAAGAGCTTCTGCCTGGTAAAAGAATCTATCCCATAAATCTCAGTGGAGTGAAAATATTGGTGATTATTCCCAAATAATTAGGACTAATGGGATTTTGGAGTTTATTCGGTAGCATTGAGAACAAGTGCCTAGCTAGAGTTTAACTGAATAAACTTAGCAACTTAGCAACCATACGATCATCCCAAAGAAAAATAATACTCCCTCCGTTCACTTTTGTAACACCCTTTAGGCCTCCTTTGGTTTGGAGGAATTTTGTAGAAATTTCATAGGGTAGGATTTTTATAGGAAAAATTCCTATAGAGCCCTTTGGTTCGTAGGAATGGAATCCTATTCCTATGGAGGAATTCTTTCTATCCTCCACATTTCATAGGAAAATAAACATTAGCCTAGACTCAATGGAAAAAATCCTATGATGTGAAACAAAGGACATCTCCTTTCCTATTCCTACTCATAGGATTTGATATGCATGTCATCTCATTTCTTAGACATTTAAGACAGCACCTAAAACAGTTCGATTTCAGCTGTCTTAAACGACTTACAAAAGTGAACAGAGGGAGTACAAGATACTACAAAATCATAATAAAGTACTCCCTCCGTAAAGAAATATAAGAGCGCTTAGATCACTATGTTAGTGAAGACCACTATGTTAGTGATCTAAACGCTCTTATATTTCTTTACAGAGGGAGTAGAAAATATCTATCTGGAAATTGTGGTCTACCTGATTCTGCTCGAAGTAGTTAGGCAGGACATTATGCTCCCCAAGAATGACTTCACCTTCTTGTGGCTTCTCCGTTCCCAAAGCAAGTTTCAGTAATGTGCTCTTACCACATCCATTGGGGCCAATAATGGCTATCTTTTCGCCTCTCTCAACTATTAGATTAGCATTGTTGAACAATATCTGGACACAATATTGGAACAATAAGAATATATTACAATTTGTTACAGGTACACAACAACACACGTTGTTAACCGAAAGAGAAAAAGCTCAAAAGAGTTTGGTATAGAGATATAGAACAATGCTGACCTTATCCCCAAACCCAAACTTGAGATTATTTATTGCTAACACAGTTCTACCGCTTCTCCCACGTTCAGGAAACCTGATCTTTAACTGCTTCCTTTGGAAAGGTTTCTCAATCAACCCTTCTTTCTCAAGCTTTTCCAATTTCTAGTGTTTCAAAAAGGACGAAATTAGCAATCACAAGAAAAGGAAGCAAATGAAGATTACACAAACTGTGGATGAAAATACGACAACGAACTGCATTGGTTTGACGCAAGCAGTAACCATGCAATTCTGGTAGTTACCTTTTGCTCACTTGAAGCACGCCCCGAGCTAGCTCCAGCCCCAAGCCGACTTATCAGTTCCCTTGTATGTTCAATCTCCTTCTGCTGCTTCTCCCATGCAGCACGTTGAGTTTCCACCCAAATCGCCTTTGCTAGAACATATTCAGAATAGTTACCCTTGTACATTTTCGACACCCCAAATTCAGTCTCCACTATCTTTGTACAACACTGATCAAGGAAAGCCCTGTCATGAGATATGATGACCATTGGTACATCCTGGATCTTAAGGTAGCTCTCCAGCCACTCAATGGTATCCAAATCGACATGATTTGTGGGCTCGTCAAGTAGAAGCAAATCAGGATCCTACACATAAAGAATATTACCATATTAATACACACGAAATGGAACTTCACACGTGGTAAGGTAACTGAAATTGACCGCCAATTTCACTGCAATGACATTCAATTTTCTCTCAGTTAGTAGTTCACACGAAAAGCATAATTTATCTACCATTGTCGCGTCCCTTCCTGCATGTAAAGCTCGTTTTTTTATCTATACCTGAAGAAGTATCTTGCCAAGCGACATCCTCATCTTCCAGCCTCCGCTGAAGGATGCGACAAGGCGGTCAGCGTCCTCCGGCACAAACCCGAGCTCGGGCATGAGCTTCTGAATCTTGACATCCACCATGCCCAGGTCGACGTCCTGCGATTGCCGCTGCAGCAGGTCGAGCTCGTCGAGGAGCCTCCCCATGAGGTCCATGTCCTCGGTTGCTCGCTCAAGCGCCGCCTGCACCTGGTCGAGGCGGGTCTTGACGCCCATCTCCTCCTGGAAGGCGCTGAGAAACTCCTCCCTGACGGTCCGGGAGGCGCAGACTTCGAACTCCTGGCTGAGGAAGGCGATCTTCATGTTCTCCTTGGCCTTGACGACGTTGCCGCCGTCGGGCTCTTCGAGACCGGCGATGATGCGGAGTTGCGTGGTCTTGCCGGCGCCGTTGACGCCAACGAGCCCCACCTTCTCCCCACGCTGCACTTCCCAGGATACGTCCTTCAGGACTGTCACTCCCTTGTAAGACTTGGAGATGTTCTCCAGCCGCACCCCGGACGGGATGCTCGACGCGCCGCTGTTCGGCCGCTTCGTCCTGGAACCGGCGCCGGGCGCGGCGGTGGTGGATTCATCGGAGAGGAGGGCGGAAAGGTCCTGGTTTGCGTCCCCCTCGGATGTGGTGGCGGCGGAGGAGGACGAGGGGGAGGAGGTGCTGAGGCGGCAGTAGATTGAGAAGGGCTGGCGGTAGCGTCGGGACGGGAGGGATGGGCAGGGAAGAAAGGGGGCGTGCGGGTGGAGGCAGGAGCGGAGGAACTTGGCGGAGAGGACGTCCATGGTGGCCATGGAGTCCTTTGGTAGTCTTCTCTGCCCTCCCTCTGGTTTTGAGTGGAGGGTGAGAGGCCACACGAACCCCAGAGAGGTAGTGTATGGGTGAGGGAAGAGAGGAGGAAGTGTATTTTTCTTAGCAATTTCCGAGAGAGGTAGTGTATGGGTGAGGGAAGAGAGGAGAAAGTGTATTTTTCTTAGCAATTTAAGAAAATTAGTCAATGTGTACGTGCAATGCACGTTAATTTGAAAATATATTAAGTGCATGCAGATATTAAGTAGAATATATTATTTGCGTGTTATTATGTGATTAGCATTATTTTTGGCATGAAATTAATTGCACGCTAAATGTGTTGGACGCTCGACATTGAAGCAGTCTAGATCGTTGGACTGACATGATTTGATGGCTGAGATTAATTGGATTTATTTATTTGGGTCTTTTTATATTGGTATAGATATAGATGTCATAGCTTTTCCTAGGTCTTTCCTTCTATAGCACACCTTTCTTTTTATTAGGGGTTGGGCCGCCACCTTGTGGCGCCTCTTGAGAGGATCCGGCTTGGCTGCTCCCTCCTCATGCTCTCATCCGTGCTCCCACTTCATCCTACGGCTGTCTTTTTCTCTTTTTCCTTTATAATCTAATCATCTTCCCCCTGACTTTAAGGGAATGGGGTCGGGTCTTATTTTGTTCCAATCAAATCAAGCCACGTATGCGGGAGCACGGATGGGCACACGGGAAGGGAGCAGGCAAGTCTCGTCCCTCCTGAGAGGGGACGAAATCACTGTTCTGACCTTATCAGAGTTTATTCTCACAAACTGAACCCGATGTGAAAGTATTTCACGTTTTGACCCTTTTAGAAACGCCAGGGACCGCGGCGTTTCCACCCAACACAGAAACGCCGAGCAAGCTAGCGTTCCTGACCTGGCCCACTGCCAGGCCGAGGACGCGTTGCGTACTGACGTGGCGTGGTGGAAACGTCGAGCAAGCTAGCGTTTCTAGAAACGCCACTGTCCTTGGCGTTTCTGGTGCAGATATTTTAGGTGGTCGTGGGGCTTTCACCCACCACTCACCTTTCACTCTCTTCTCCCCATTGGCCTATCCCGAGATCTTGCCATTTTCCCCCTTTGTGTCCCTCACTTAGCCCCTCTCAAATCCTTGCAAATCGATTGAGTTGGTCCGTGGATCCGGTGTCATTTCCGTTCGTTGAGGTAACCTCCTTCATCTCACAAATTTTTATTGGTTGGATTTGTCCATTTGGATTGATTTGTTCTTATTCATCCTAACCCTAGTATTGAACATTTATCTATAATGTGATGTTTTGAGTATTGTTGTTCCAATAGTGTTGCATTGTGATGTTGTTGAGCATACCTTATTGTGGGTTATGGCTAATGTTAAGATTTAGGGTTAGAGTTATGGCTAATGTTAAGATTTAGGGTTAGGGTTAGGGGTTTTGTTAGCAATGTGGTATATTTAGCATTGTACATTTCTTATACTTATGTTACCATTTTTTTAGATGGACAAGATTGTGAATATTCATTGTGTTGACAAAGAGGCATTCATGAATGTGGATATTGTTGACAAGTATGAGGAAGTGTTGATATTTTTTGAGACTCCTAGTTATGAAGAGGTTGTGGAAGAAACACGGATAAGATTAAAGTGGGTGGATGCAAGTGACCAAGTTGAATTAGTAGGAGGATATGATGTTGGGTCGGCATACAAGTGTCGAATGAAGACAATGCCTATCAAGTCCAATTTGCATTGGGTTGCATATAAGGAGGTTGTTGCATCCTCGGCAGTCAAGTCACTCGAAGTCTTTGCAAGTAACGTGGTCAAGGCTCCTTTCTTTCATGTTGACTTAAATCAAACCTTAGTAGATGATGTGAGCCCGGTTAGTAGTGTGCCACCTATTGTTGAGCATAAAGTTGAAGTGGAAGCCAATGAGTATCCCCAATATGAGTTCGGAGGTAGTGCACCGTTGAAATATGATGGCGATGACTCCGACGAAGAGTATGAGAGGCACCACAACATTGTTGGTGACGTAGAGGCTAAAGTAAGGCATCAGGACATGGATCCTGACATTATCTATCAGCGTGCTTGTGTGGATGACTCGGATGATGAAGGCTCGGTGAATGAGTTGGACGAGGATGGCTTGACTGAGAAAGAAGCAAAGTGGTACACAAAAATTACCGGTAGGGATCACAAAGTTCCCTTGTTTTGTGATGTTAGCCTTGCAGATAAGGCTATAGTCGACAGTGGCATGAGCAAGACAATTGAGGCTAGACAGTTCCTAAGTAGTACACCCGACGCGATTTCATGTCGTACGTGAGGAAAGGTTTGATGTTCGAGCACATGCTAGAATTCAGGATGTGGTTGTGTGAGTATGCTGCCAAACACCACAGGCCTTTCATAGTTGTTCACTCGGACTGCAACAAGCGATACACCGTGAAATGTGAGGTAGAAAGATGCAAATGAAAAGTCAATGGAAGACTCACGAAAGATGGTTGGTGGAAGATAACTAGTTGCAAAGCCACTCACCAATACACACCGCCAGCCGTAGAAGCACGGAAGACACACCGTTAACTAACCTCGGAATTCATTGGTTATAAATACCAGAAACATATAGCCGAGGATCCAACCATTAAAGTGAAGTTGTTGATGAGTTGGATTTAAGATAACTTCGGATATAAGGTCAAGTACGGGAAGACGTGGAAGGCCAAGCAAGTCGCTCTCGGAATGTTGTACGGTGGATGAGAAGGGGCTTACAACATGCTACCCAGGTTGCTGGGAGCGACGTCGTATAGAAACCCAGGAATGTACCACTATGTCCAAGATATTGAAGGAGTGTCCTGACATGCCTTTTGGACGTTTGGCCCATGCATTGCAGCTTTTGAGCATTATCGACCGATTCTGTCTATAGATGGGACATTCTTGACAGGGAAATACAAGGGCACACTCATGATAGCAATGTCACATGATGCTAACGATCAGGTGTTGCCTGTGGCATTTGCTTTCGTCTACGTGGAGAACCAAGACAACTGGGAATGGTTCATGAGACTTGTTAGGAGCACGATCATTCCTCCGAATAGGGAGGTATGCATCATATCCGATCGGCACCGAGGCATATTGAAGGCTGTGGATATTCATATTCCAGATACGTTAGACCTACCTTGGCGTTCCTTTAAGATAGAGGCTACCTGGAACCTCTCCAAGAAACATTGCGTTGTACCCTAGAAACGCCAAAGTCCATGGCGTTTCCACCCTACAATGAAACGCTCTACGTGGCTTGGTGTTTCTTTAAGACAGAGGCTGGCTGGGACACGTACACGAAACGTTGCCGCTCACACCTGAAACGCCAACCACTCGCGGCGTTTCCGAGCCACATATAAACGCCAATGTCCTTGGCGTTTCTGCCCTGTTATGCAAATCACAGCAAACCCTGCTGCCCATATCCATTCCATCACAGGTAGCAAAGGTACAACAACAGTTTTCACAATATAATGCCAGGTACAGCAACAGTATAGCAATGAGACATATTTTCGACAACGAACTTAACATGATCCAGCTTACATAATAATTACCAAGTCTTGCTAACATAGAACTAACAAGTCCATCAGACATAAAACATAACAAGTTCATCAGATATAGAACTAACAAATTTGCTCCATCTGAAACACTAACTACATTTCTAGTTCACCACATATAGAACTAACAAGTTCGCATTAGTCATCACTTCACTTCTTGCCTCTTTTTGCAGCCATCTTCCCCCTGTTGACGCAGCCCTCTGGAGTGTTCTGCCATCCAGGACGTCGGATGGTTCTTGAGCTAACTCGGCGTGCTTCTTCAGAAGGCTGAGAAGGTTGAGTTGGCGGTGGAGCATCTTCCATCTACGAAGCCCCAAGCTCCACATAGTCCGGATCCGCATCATAGTCTGTCTCCTCCTCTTCATCTTCCTGTTCATCAATCCGTGCTCGGCTCGAAGAAGCACCTGCTTGGCTGGAAGATGGACGAGCGGAAGAAGCACGTGCTTGGCTCGAAGATGGACGAGCGGAAGACAACACATCCATTCTATGCTGAGCACGTGCACGCACATTCGTGGATGAACCGCCATGGCAAGAAAGTAAAGCGGCTAGTGTTCGGCAACGATTCACAACCTTCTGCAGAGGCAAAGACATTGACATGTAAATATGCAAAAATAGTTCACATGACACATGTTCATATTAAGAGGGCCTCTAACCTGTAGAGTACTCCTAACGAGAACGTCTGTTTCTCTACCAGGTGCGCGGCCAAGCACCACATTACTATCATTGATACATCTCCATAGCTCCATGCCCTGAATAAAACTTAAGTGACACACCACTCATGAAGAAATGACACATGTTCAAAAAAGAGACAAAAAGACATACCACTCGGTCATGCAGAGGGCCATAATCTAGGTGCGCTCCAATGGTCTCCCTAATAGAGTTGTTGAATGCACCATCAGCAGCCTCACTTGGCATTACTTCCAAACATCGGCACGAGTCCAAGCACCCTTAAGGATAACTCTGTACTCTTTGTGAAGCCACTCCAAATGCCTTAAATATGCCCCCTCGTCGTTGTCAGGTGTGTGATCATCTTCAACTCGGGCATTCCTCTGAGCATTCCACATGTCTACCCACATAAGATGGTGATCCTCCCAATTAATGACATTCTTGTTGTGTTGCCGGCTCGTCCTACAAAGCATGAGAAGTATCGGCATCATTTTCATTTTTACGTGATTACACATTGATCAACATATGGTACAAGAAACTCTCACCTATGTAGCACCACACTTGTCTCAACATACTCCGGCGGTGTGCGTTGTTGTACTCCAAATTGCTTCAAAACACGATGTGGAAGATGCCACTCCACCGCAAAAAAGCATATCATGGGGCAACGCACACACCAAAGATGTTGGTCACGAAGGCACATATTGCTCAAAGGGAACTGCCTAAGTACCATGTACGGCCTCCAATTAACCTACATCACAACATGTCACTAG